AATGTTCTTGGACTGCAATTCCCAGAAGCCTTCACCACTAGCTGTGTTGGCAAGGAGTTGTAATCCTAAAAAGTAACTTTTCTAAACTCTGGTGGCAATGTTGATGTGCTTACACATTGCCGAGATGGAACTGAGGAATTTTCAAATCCAGCTTCATCACCGAGTCCTGGTTTAAAATCAGGTTTTCCTCTCGTGAGACGTGATCTATTGCTTTTGCTCACGCACCACTTCCGTTTCAGTTCAGAAGAATAAATTTGACACCTCCCTTATTTAAGAAGAAGGGAAACATTTTCAAATGCTTTTTTTAAATTAATAATATTATTATTTTTAGGGCTTGCTCCTATTCTCCCTCTCTCCGCCTTGCTGCCACCTCTAGGGGGGAAAACAGGAAATTGACGATGCTACAATCGGCAGAAAGGGGCTATAGATTATCTGAAGGCTTGTGGCAGCTCTTGGCAGGCATCATTTTGTGAATCAATTATGCAGTTTGTGATTCTGCAATAAGGGAAATTGATGGCTTGTGAACTGAGCTCACAGCGGGAAGGCAGGGCAACTATTTAGACCACTCAGCAGATTTTTTTTTTGGTTAAAAAAAGCAGCTAATTGTCAGGAGCAGATGATGCCTGCAAATAAAAAAGCCCCTGTTTCAAATCTCATAGAAGCCATGGACTCCTGAGTGGTCTGATCCTCTGCGGTGTGGACAGGATCAGAACCAGGAGCAACTAGGATGCTGACCAACCTTCAGAGGGGTTGCAAAGCAGGTATAGGCAAAATTTGGTGGTCCAGATGTTTTGAACTTCCATTCCAAGAAACCCTTGCAGAGTTTTGCATTTTAGTTAAATACTTCTAAGCAGAAGTGCAGGGATTCACAGAGCGGAATTAGCTTCAAGTTCCCCACTTTAGACCACCATTTTTTCTCATCAAGCGGCGCTTACAGTCTCAGTAACACACTCTCAGACATGAATGGGAGAAAGACTAAAAGATTTAATTCACTTATAGTTGAATAGGTTTCAGAAAGAGGCCTCAACAGACTATACTGATTCCAATAGACACAAGGCAGGGTACTATTGGTAAGGGATGCTACAGAAAGAGAATTTTTGGGATGCCATCCTTGACCAGCCACGAAATGCCTCCTAACAATGTCTTCTGACTGGGTTGGCCACTCTGTGAAATTTAGGAGTGATTGTGAAGATTCTATGATGTAAGCAAAGGCCTGGATATGCTGCAGGAGCATATGTGCTAATCCCTGGATGCTAATCCCTGGATCATACAAATTCCAGGAATGGAGTGTGTTTAATGGCCTTTCCTTCAGTGACATGAGACATGGGGACCAATGTCTCCTAGTCCCTCCGTGTAGTGGCATCTCATGGCGAAGTGGATAAACTGCAGTATTGCAGTAAAGACTCTGCTCGCAACCTGAGTTTGGTAAATTGACTACCCAGCTCATGGGCGGTGTGGGCGCAATCTGTAGCCTATAAATTGTAAGGTGTCCAGAGAGGGCTCTAAGCGCTATGGGGCCGTATAGAAGTAACACATTGCTTTGCTTTGCTTTCATGCAAAAGGAGGTCTCCCTTCTGATGAGTTCTCATCAGATCTTAGGATCTGGCAAGCAGAGGAGCTGGAGTCTTTCTGGGGCCAGTCGATTACCATGAGCTTCAGAGCAGTCAAAGCAGCAACAGCTGTACTGCATTAAATAAAGAGTTAAATTCTCCTGGGTGGAGAATTAGTGCAGGGAAATCGCCCCAGAGGGAGACCACAGCTGCGATACAAGGAGATCTGCAAGCGGGATCTGAAGGCCTTAAGAATGAACCTCAACAGATGGGAAACCCTGACCTCTGAGCGTTCAGCCTGGAGGCAGGCAGTGCATCATGGCCTCTCCCAATTTGAAGAGACACTTGTCCAGCAGGCCGAGGCAAAGAGGCAGTTCCGAAACCAGCAAAAACAGGGAGCTGGACAAGGGACAGATTGGATTTGTCTTCAGTGTGGAAGGGATTGTCACTCTCGAATTGGCCTCCTCAGCCACACTAGACGCTGTTCCAAGTCCTCCATACAGAGCACGTTACATAGTCTCTCGATACTGAAGGATGCCTAAATCTAAAAAATTAAAATTGGCAATAGAGGTGTACCTGGTGATAAGCGGTGTTCAGAAGTGGAAAAGACTGGGACGGTGGAAAGGGGTGGACTTTTCCTGGGACGTGATGGTCTCTGCTTAGTGGGAGGTTTCTATCAAGACACCAAATGGCCATTGAGCAAGGATGCTTTAGCTGTCCATTTCCTTCACTGGCATGAGGTTAAACTCAAGGGTTCTTGCTCTTCCTCTGGACTAAGACTCTGTAGTTCTTCAGACTGGCCTAGGAATGAATCCTTCCTGAGATACTGGAGATCTGCTGCCAGTCAGAGCTGACATCACTGGGTCAGATGGCCTAGTGGCCAGGGTTTTATCTAAAGGCAGCTTCTTCTGTTCTTTTTCGGGAGTGTGTCTGGTTGGAGAAGTCTGACTGACGCAATGAAATCTCCTGACAACTGCAGCTGCCAACCAATAACGCGCCGTAATGGAAGCCAAGTAATATCCCATTAGCAGCCTCAAAGTCTTGTTCTGCTGACCGGCAGATTCGCACCCGGGAGCCTGCACGATGCCAACAGCTCCCCAGCCCAAGCGTTGCCAGCTAGCTTAGAGTTAATGAGATGGCAGGGTACCCACTGCTGCGAACAGGATGGGGCTCAGCTGGGGGAAATGATGACTGCATCATCTACATCCCAAATGCCTTCTGAGAAGGATGCTGAAGGTCAAGAAAAGCCAAAACCATCACCAGGCTGAATCTTCAACCCTGGCCTCCACCAACTGTTGGTGATCGTGTTCAAAACATTGGCAAGCTCCTCTTCCTAGCAGTTTCCTGGGGGCACCGCAGGCTCCTCTTAGCTGAATGGAGCCCCTTGTCTTTTAACTCCACCCTCCTACTTTTACACACAACAGCCCCGCAAGGTTGGGTCAGGCTAAGAAAAACCAATCATTACCCAGAGAGCTTCATGACTGTTTCAACAAAGGCATTGTTGTCCAAATCCTAGCACCTTATTCGCCCTTTTTACCCCTCCTAGAGGACAGGATTTTATACCTTGCCCCATCGCTAATGCTCTGGCTCTTCGGGGTTTGGGTTAATTTAAGCAACCATGTAAAAGTCACTCTCCTTGGATCTAAGAACATCAAGGTGGCCTTGCTGGATCCCACATGATGGATCTAGTCCAACTTGACACCTACAGTGGACAACAAAGGGACTCCAGGAAGCTCACAAGTGAGGCATGAGTAAAATGGCACCTTCTCACTCATGTTCCCCTCCAACTGATATGGAGAGGTGTAGAGCTTCTAATACTGGAGTTGGTATATAGCCACCATGTCTATTTGTCTGTATATCTCCATAGGTTACGGGCAGGTGAAGTGAACCCCCTGCCTGCGTTGAGCTTGCGTCTCCCAGAACTTTTCACCACTGCACTGCCTGGGACCGAGAGGAGTTGTGAGAAAACCATCTGAAGTGCCAACTTTTGCCCCCAAAGAATAAAGAATAATACCAAAAAGAAAGGAAATCTGTGCTTTATGCCCTGATCCTCCCCGACTTACCCTTTGGGCCTGGAGATCAATGGATAAATCACAGATTTGAGCGTGCTATATTTATTTCCCCTCTGATCAAGGCTCTGACTGGTGGTGGCAGATGGTGATGGAATGTCTAACACACAGGTGAGCAAACTGAGGTTTCTCAGCAGCCCTGAGCCTTGTAGGACAGTGGTCCCCAACTTTGGGCCTCCAGATGTTCTTGGATTGCAACTCCCAGAAGCCTTCACCACCACCTCTGTTGGCCAGGATTTCTGGGAGTTGAAGTCCAAGAACATCTGGAGGCCCAAGGTTGGGGACCACTGCTCTAGGGACACAGTTCCCCAACATATTTTACAGGGTTTTTTCTATTCTCACAAGCCCCAATCATAAAACAAAGGCAGCTAATTGACAAGATATGGGGGATGGGGAAAGCTCTGCCATGACAATCACATGCCTTGTGAAGTTAAGGAATTCTTGCCTGTGCCGTGAAGGCCGGTGACTCCAGGGTCAGTGGAGCTGTCAATCTGTTCCAGGTTTTACTCTGAACTCACGATAGGGAAACTATATCCTCCAAAGAGGTTGACCCTAGTTCATGTCTCCTTTTGTCGAAAGTGGAACTGGTGAGAAAGCATAACTACTTTTCATTACAGAGCCAAGCTTTGAAACAGTCTCCTCTACAAGACCCACCTGATCACCTTCTTACTGACCCTTCCACAGTTGTTGATGATCATCCCATTTCGTATTGCTTCCAGAACTGGTGGTTCTTCTCCAGCCCTGTCAACACCTTAGACAGTTCCATTTTTGGAAGCGGTTGGGTGTGTTCCTAATTCTGTTTGCTTACTTCTTTCTCTGCTATCCAGGTGTTTCTGGGCTTGGTTAAGTGCTTTCTTATCAGACTTTTCCTTAAAATTCACAGCTAGGTAGGGATCAGCACCCAAATGCTGTCACTCAATATCCCAACCACTGTGACACTCTCATGCAACTTTGCATGGGTCTATCTATATTTCAAGCTGGTTGGATAGCACAGTGGTTTAGGTCGCTGGCTGTGAATCCAGAGGTTGGGAGTTCGATTCCCCCACTGGGTCTCTCAAGAAGAAGAAGAGCCAGCCTGGATGTCCTTGGGCTAGTTACACAGTCTCAGGGATCCCCTCTATCTGTAAAACTCTGGACAGGGTTGCCATAAGTCAGAATTGACTTGATGGCTTGATTGTTATTGCCTACAGTATTTTTCATTTTTTTTATATCTTTCTTTCTGGGCTCTATACTAGCTAACTCTTTGTTTTTGAAATAAGGGAGAGGAAGAGGGAGAATCCCACTGGTAGCAAATACTGGAAGGTGAGTCAATAATACAAAGATGATTCAAACAGACTTAATTTAAATCATTTATTCTGGACACCAACTCCGTTGGTGATGGTGGTGCAGTTTACACACAGCCCAAGCTATAGCCAAGGCTATTAATAATTATATTGTCCTTTTTTTAATATACGCTCCATTCCCCCCTTCCCAAAATGGTTTGCTTCTGCACCTCCTGCATTAGCCAAAGTGCACCATCTATGCTATTGCTATTGTATGTTGAGGGATCGCTGGCATTCTGCAGGTCCACGCGTGCAGGTCAGGCAAAATCTTTTGACACGGCCTCGACAAAATTGGGCGCCGACATCAGAATGCCGATGGTGCAGATAATGGTGAAGATGGAGAAGGCCATCAAGCAGAGGCGGTCCACCACCGAGGCAGCAAACTTCCACTCATTGCAAATGGCTTCCGCCTCGTCTTGGTCTCTGAACCGGTTGGCAATGTAGCGAACCTCTTCCAAGATCTTGGCTAGTTCTGGGTCAGTCTCCGAGGGATGCCCGCTGTGAAGGAGATTGTCGTCTTCGGTAGGGGAACAAGTCATTCTGCCACAGATCACACCTGAGTCGGTGGTTGGAGTGCAATGGACACCTTCTAGACCCCTGAATCCAATATACAGCATATTCCCATTGCTGGATGGTTGTCCACTCACAGTGTTTACCTCGATGCTTGACATACTGCATCGACGCTGCTTATGTTGGCACGCCGGGCGCACTTTATCCTCCCCTGGTCTTTTCATCCTCAAGAACCAGGCACACCAGTTCAGAAGGATTATTCTGGTCTGAAAAACATTAGTATTAAAATCAGCACCACTGCTGGCTGGACAGCTCAGTGAATTAGGAATCTGGCTGCAGAGCCAAAGGTTAGAAGTTTGATTCCCCCACTGTGTGCCTCCAGGGAGAAGAACCAGCCTGTGTAGCCTTGGGCAAGCTGTACAGTCCCAAGATGACCCCAGAAGAAGGGAATGGGAAACCACTTCTGTGTATTCTCTACCTAGGAAACTGTGGAAAGGGTTGCTGTAGGTCAAATTTGACTTGATCTTGGTCTGCAGTTATTATTAAGCTGGCTGGATAGCTCAGTGGTTTAGGTCTCTGGCTGTAGAGTCAGAGGTTGGGAGTTTGATTCCCCACTGAGCCTCCTGTGAGTAGAGACATCCTGTGTAGCCTTGGGCCAGCTACATAGTCCCAGGGTCCGTCAGAAGAAGGGAATGGGAAACCACTTCTGAGTATTAGGCAGAGGGATAAGAAAAACCTGTAGATAGTTGCTACCATTTCATCAGTGGTTAAGATATCAGCCAACCGTGCCCAAATTCAGTTGACAGGCACAACATTGTACCTTTGGAAAGAAGAATGGAGTGAATGTTTTCAGAGAGAAAGTAACTCATGTAGAAATCTGGTGCTGAAAGATGTCATCTGTTGATGTTCACCTCCATTCTCTTTTCCTCTGAAGAAGTCGACCCCAAGCACAATCTCATCTCCTATAAACTCCATAACTATAGATCCTGGGAACTGCCCTGCTGGAAGTCTTTGTTGTGTTAATGTTTCTCTGCTGTGCCACCAGATCAATGGCACAACTGACTTCTGATGGTCTGTGTCACAGCACCAGATTTTTTTTAAAAAAAAACAGTCTCGGGGGGTTCTGTATGAATTTCCCACCTTTGGAGGTGTACTCATGTGCTGGAGAGATCTGTCTGATGAAAAGACCTATCTTCTCAGGAGTCTAGGATTGTTCAGCTTGCCCAAGGCTACAAAGGCTGGCTTTCACTCCAGAAGATGATGTGGGGGATTGAACTCCCAATCTTTAGCTCTGTAGCCAGTTAACCCAACATACTGAATGATTAAAACAGGCAGAGAGACAGACAACCAACTCCACAACTGAATCCATAAAGGGAGTCTTGAAACACACCCACCCCTCCAGATATCCTATGTCCGTCCCTAAACTTCCACATCAGTCGTGTTATTTATAGAGAGATAAGAGAAATCATATTGGAGATATCTCCCTTTCACTGTGGGAATCAGGACCAATCATGTGAATTCTGTGGTCTGACCCATCAGGGTGCTTTTAGTGTTTTTATTTGCCAGGGTGCTGTGTAATCAGCGTTTAAATGCTGCCATCCATAATAGATTTGTTACATGCCTCGAGGGTCTTCTCAGATGGAAAGTCAGAGTTAAACATCTCAGGAAATAAAATATGCATCACCAGGGCTGTGACAGCGTGGCAGTGCGACACAGATAGGATTGGCTGCCAGTTTTCCGCCATGGGGAAGAACTTTGTGTACACGGGATTAGAACACCTGGCCAAGGACACATTTCTTTCTTGGCCTTGGTGGACGTGCCGTTGTGGTGGGAACAAGCTCTCACTCTGACTCTCTCCTGACCAGTGTTTCAAACGGAGAAAAACGGGACCTTACCCACTTGGGCATTTTGCCCCCGTCCGGATCGTGGTGGTGATACTGCAACACGATGACCGTGACAACGACGGAAAGCCCAACTATAATCATAGTGCTGGCAAAATATTGTGCTGTGAAGAAAAGGATGAGGCTGCTTAACAAATTCAGGGTGATAAACTCTTGTGTCAAGTATCTGTCTTCCACATACGAGGCTGAGTTTTTGATTTAACCTCCATAACCTTCCCCACCCCAGGTTGTGAATATCTTCTCACATCCCGTTTTATGCCTGTCCCTTCCATGACACCTGTTGCTTGCACCCAATTATTCCACTCACTTTTTCCTTTCCATTCTACCTGGATCAGTTACCTTTTCTGTTTTCTTCATTTTCAACATTCAAGTTACAGTGGTCCCTCGCTAGACGATGATCATCTGTTCTACTGAAATCGCTGTCTAGCGAAATCATTGTCTAGCGAAAAGCAAATGTCATCTAGCAAAAATCGGTTTGCGAAGCTGGGCCCAAACATTGTCCAGCGAAATTCCCCCATAGGAATCACTGTTTTGCAAATCACTATAGCGATTCCAAAAAGGCAATGTCTAGCGAAAAAACTGCCATGCGGGGTAACTGTCTAGCGAGGCACCACTGTATATAGTTCTTCTGTAGTCATCCTCCTTCTACTCTTTCTTCTTTGCCCTACCCCATCTGTTGTTCTACGTCATTACTAAAAAATTTTTTGCCAGCAATAGTGGTGTGTCATCTGCATACCTTAAATTATTGATATTCTTCTCGTGGTTACAGAAGAACTACATAGCTTTTATGTTGACAACAAAGAAGGTGATCCCAACCAATCTAAATCCCATCTTCAATGCGTTAATATCATAACATTTCTCAGCCAATTGCTATTTAGCTTTGTCAAACATCCCTGAGAACAGGGGAAAAACCCATTTGAAAACTATGCCAGAAAACATTTCTCATTCAGTGTTAAAACATCAGAGAAATAGAACAATCCAAATCATCTTAATTATTCTTGAACTGTCACGCTACTACCACAGGGTACAATTCAGTCAATTAATTAATCATGTTATCTGTATACTATGTCTCTCCAAACTATTTGTTTACACTCAGTAGATTTACACTCAACAAATTCAACCAACATAAAGCTGCCCCAATGGCTGATCTTAAGGATCAAGTAGATTTAAAATTAGGAGAGCTTTCTCTTTTTTTTCTCAGGTCAGCTGCTTCCTTTAGGGTTCATTAGGTCAATATTAAAACTCATGCTGAGCCTGGAAATGAATCTTGATTTCCGATAAAAAGATTCAAATAGCATCTCAAAATTTCCCATCTCTACTCTAGCTCCTGGTGGTAAAACTCATTGTATAACTGTGAACCCACTGGGTGGGGTGGGGGGGAGAAAAATATCTGGGCATTTAAAACTCTACATATACGTCATTGGAAGACATCGGTTTTCTCTATTTCTAACACCAAGGATCAACACCTGGACTTTTTATGTATTTATTTATTTAAAATATTTCTATGCTACCTTTCTCCCCAAAAGGACCTAAGGCAGCTTACATCATTAAAACTTTATTTAAAAGCTCAAATAGTAAGTATACAAATATTAAAAAAAGAATTAAACAAGTATTATAATAAAATGGTAACTAAGATCAATACTAAAACATAATTTAAAACAACAGAGCATGAGAGTCCATTTAAAACCATTTATTCATTAAGCTTGCTTGAAGAGAAAGGTCTTTGCCTGCCTGCAGAAGGACAGGAAAGATGGAGCCAGCCTGGAAAAATAGACTTAAAAGAGATACTTCATACTTCCTATTATTCACGCTCAATGCTGCAGGTTTGAAAATAAACTCCATTGAAAAATGAAGCTAGCAGTGACTTACCGATCAATGGCACTGAATCGGAAGTTGCTGGCATAATTTCTGCCACCAGGAGCATAAAAACCGTCAGGGACAATAAAACCGTTATCCCTGCAAAACAAATCATGGGATATGGAGTCAGAGAAAAATGATCTCAGAACCGGGGGGGGGGGGGAAGA